CGGGACGCGGCCCCGATGACCGAGCTACAGCAAGATGTGGAAGACTCGAAGCCTGCCAAGGTGCTCGGCAAGAGGGAGAGCCGGGTGGGCGCAGCGCAGTGAGTACCCCGCGCCGCCGAACCCCTGCGCCAGGGCGCGCCCGGGTGGGAGCCGCTGTCGGAACTTGTACGCGGACAGCCTGGAGGCTCGAAGGCTCTCTGCGGCGCCCGGTCTCTCTCTCTCTCCGATTCGGTGGCAGAGGGAAGGCTCGGCAGGGTTTCGGGACGGTGCTGCCGCTGGCAGCCCCGTGGGGATGTGAATTCTTGGAGCGGATGGCACGATTGGTGTTTTGTCATTCCCGAGGGAGGGTCGGGGACCTCGTTCAGGTCCCTTAAGCCCTGTCGAGAAACGGAGCGCTAATATTTGTGGCAGTTGTCCTGCTTCTTAGCGACGAGGGGGAGATGCAGTTGTCTTGGGGGGGTTACTGGCCATGAGCCCCACGGTGTTGTGGGTTCAGACCTCGGGGATGTCTGTCCCCGGTCCCTTCACTGTTTCCGCCCAAGGGAGTGGGCACACGACATAGGCTTTACCTTTCCCCCTCCGCGACTGCCTGCCTTTGCGTGGGGGCTGGACACAAGCTCGTCGCACACTTCTGAGAGAGGGGGTGCAGGAGCGGCGTCGAGGGCGAGGAATCTGTAAGGAGCGCTTCAAGGACTGGGCTGGGACTCCTGAGAGGTGGCTGTGGTGATAGGATGTGCACATTGTTTGCTTTACACGCTATTCTGGTTTAAGAAACTGAAAACTAAAATATTTTGGTCACAGGGATTAGCTTTCTGTAATGAAACTTGTCTTCGCCTGTACAGCTTTATTTTTCTTTTTTTGATCCAGAGCAGCATTATTTCCATGGTTGTTAATTCCAAACATTCTTCTTTGAAAAAGGAAAAGAAGCTTTCAGCATTTGCTTATTTGCTGTCACCATCACACTAAGTGATGTTAAGATAAATATCTAAATAAGATAGATATTAAGATAGACTATCTAAATAAGCCCTTTTTTTTTTTTTTTTTTAATGGCACCAAGCTGTTGGGAGTACTTAAAATGCTTTATTGATACTAATATAAAAAGATGATAGATTATTGTTTTTCTGTTTTTTTAATCTTCACCCGAGGACATGTTTATTGATTTGGGAGAGAGAGAGAAACATGGATGTGAGAGAGAAACATGATTGGTTGCCTCCCGTACACACCCCAACCAGGGGTTGAACCCACAACCTAGGTATGTGCCCTGACCCAGGAATCGAGCGGCAAACCTTTTTGGTGCATGCCTGAGATGATGCTCCAACCGTTACTGAGCCACCCAGCTGGGACGAAAAGGAGAAATTATTTTAATGAAGATTCAGTCTCCATCATTCGTTGTTTCAGCATTTACTGATTTTTAAAACTCACAGCCTGGCTCCACATAAAGACTTGTGTTTATAAAAGCATATTTCATCTGTGTGTCTGTTGACGTTTGGGCTAAACTTTTGGAAGAATAGATTTATTAGCTGCTTTGATTTATGGTTTCAAATGCTTTGGTCATATTCTTGTCCAGCGTTGCTTTCCTTGGCTGCTCTCTCCTTTGCCCTCCCAACACTGTCAACTTAAGCCGGTGTTCTTTACTCTTTATGTACAAATCTATGATGGAGAAAAACTGCTATGGGTATAACTTTCAAAAAATGTTTTGGTTTTCTCACCCCAAGATAAAAGCCTAACTCTATGCTAACAATTGAAGTTCAAGAAAAAGATGAACTCTCAAATGCTATTTCTGTTACATTACTTCTCTGAAGAAGAGGTATTGTGGATAGTTTTTTTGTTTGTTTTTTTGTTAATCCTCATGCAAGGATATTTTTTCCATCCAGGCACATGCCCTTGACTGGCAATCAAACCCACGACCCTTCGGTGTGCAGGTTGGCACTCTCACCACTGAGCCACACCAGCCAGGGCATGATGATCTTATCACCATTTAATAGATGTTGGAAGTGACAGGAGTGTTAAAGGGCACAAGCAAGACTGGAACCCAGGACTTGAAACTTATAGTCCTGAACTCGCCTGCATGCAATATTTAGTTGTACTTACACAAAGTAGAATGACTCAGTTCTATGCAAAACAGCTACTGAGTTTGAGAATCTTCACACTCTCAGTCATCTAGATATTCAGTTAAGGAAATTGTTTTAAATGATTGAAAAAGTCTACTACAGCATTTGGACTAATTATGTTAACTCAGAATGCTTTAGATGTTGGGAAAATACTTCGGTCAATGATAAGAGCATTGAAGCTCAAAGTCCCAACATAACCCTTCATTTGAAACAGCCAGGTTCAAATTCATTTCAGTTCAACAAATAATGGACTACCTACTATTTGTTCAATAATGGTGGGGAATACAAGAATGTATATGAGATGGTATCTGCCCTTCTGGAACTTCAACAGCAGTTTTGAGAAGAGGCGCATTGGTATATTACTGTACTTCTAGGGACATTGGTGGTCATTTTCACATAAAACACACAAACAAGATGCTATAAAAAGTTTGGCCCATAACAGTCTCCATAGTTAGGATGTCTATCCCTTTGACAGTCCTTGTTAAATTTCTCTTTATTTATTGGGTATTTTTTGTTTGTTTTCCTCTCAAAGTAGTCATTTTCAGGCCTACTGAAGTCACTTCTGCTTCAGTCTAAGATCTTAGACACTCTCTTCCTCTGACCTCTCAGACTCTTGCTCTGGTAACAGAAGAGTAAATTTAAGAGGGAGGTAGATACAGTGATATATTGGTGTGATAATTCCATATCTTAAATCATTCTGAGTAGCCAAATTGTTACACTTGGAAACCCAGTCTCACTTCTGTTTTGAACTTCATAACTCAGATTAACAGTCACTAAGCTGAAAATTGTTGAAGTTCAGGTGTCCCAGTGGACATTTTCTTCCAAGGATGTTAGAATGGCTCATGTCTCCCCACTTCCCTGCATCTGTAACTGCACCCACATAGGCCTCATCTCCTGGAACCTAGCCTCCTAGGTAGTAACAGCTGCCATTTATCAAGAATGCTTGCTGTGTGGTGGACTGTGTGCTCAACACTTTACATTCATTTTCATACAGAATGAGGTCGGCACCGTTATCTCCATTTTACAAATAAGAACATTGAACCTCTGAGAAGTTAAGCAACGAGACAGAGACACAGTTAATAAGAGAACAGCTGAAATTCAAGTCCAGGTCTCCTGACTCTCGGGCCTGAACTTCAACGCTTAATTTGCCCTCTACTCCTGAATTCACGATGGCCCTCCATGGCCTACTCTAAAACGCAGGCTCCTCTGCCAAGAATTTAAGACCCTTAAATAGCTAAACCCACAAAGACCATTTCAACCTCCTTTCCTAATACTAGCCGCATGCACATCTTTTATAGCCAGACAATCACACTGGAATCCCTGTTTTCAAGAGGTGATGATACAGAGGAACGGGAACAGGTAGAACCAGATAAAGTTCCCTTCATTCGTCTCTTCTCATCTCTACTCCTCTGCTCAGGTAGTTTCCTCTCTTCTTTCTCTGTATTTCTGTAAATCAACTCAGGTTTTCCTCCATTTAAAACCTTCCCTTATCACTGGCCATACTCATCTCTTCCTATCAGTGCCTACCTTCTACATATGTGGTTGGCCCCATAAAATTTAGCTGCTGTTATTATTACTATTAATTAACAGTTAAACATTTATTGAACATTTCGTATATACAAAGCAGTGGTTTAAGCTGCTAGCTTGTATTAACTCACATGCTAGTCTAGTGTTTATTAGTTAACTTTTCCCTAAATAGATTGCAAGCTCCAGTCATCTTTTTCCTTACTTAATTTCTCAGAGGACCCAACAAATAATTACTTTCAATAACCATTTGTTGGTGAGCTGGGGAAGCTGGGACCCCGTTCCCCCTAATTAAGATACATAATATGCTTATAGCTGACATTCAGCTTGACTATCTCAGGGACATTCCCTTCATTCTTGTGAGCTGAGCTGCACCGCAGAGAAGCTGCAAGGACTCATTTTGTTCCTCTGGCCAACAATGACAGTAAAATTAAGTCCTCTTACCTCTCTCCCCCCCTCCCCCATTGGCTAATAATAGTGCAATATAAGTATGAAGCTGACACACCTGGAGAGCTTGCTAAGAACATACCTGCCTCAACCTCATCCCATCTTTTAAAATCTCATAATCAAATTTTCTATCAGTGGCAGTTAGAATTTTAAGGTATTTACTTGCCCGAGAGCTGTGGCTTAGTCATTCATCTTTATGCTAGAAGTGAGGCTGCAGATTCACTTATCACCAGAGTGCATTTTGATAACCCTTTTCTTACCAAGAATAGGTCATTTAGCAGCCTATTTCCTTTTGAGATCCTAGTTTCTCCCCATTCATTACCTTTTTCATTCCGAATTTTATGTTCCCAGGACATAGACAATTCTAACATAGCTTAACTTTTCTGACACAGATTTTATGAGATACACTTTTGTTTCTTAAAAAGTCTGTTGATCTGATTTTAGGAATGACCAAGTTACTTTTAATCAATTTCAAAACGTATCTAAAACTAATGCTGATATATTTCTGGGCAAAATTATTTTGATTCATATTTCAAATAATGAATTACATTATACATAACATACTTGTAATGAAAATTGAATTTTTAACGTTTAAATTTTAATAACTTGGGGTGTAAGAATTCTAGAAATGTGTTCAACCCCATATATAGAGAGAGGAAGTGGATGTGGGCAACATAAACATTTACCTTGAAAGGAAGTTCTCTGGTATTATCAAGAAGTGATCATGATTTTAGGAGCATCCTTTAATTTTAAATTGTGAATTCAAGTAAAAATAAGTTACCTACAGTGAAAGTGTTTATTATCCAGTTATCCTGTCTTTGTACATTGCTTATTGGGGGTACCTGACAAGCAGAATAAGGGTTGAAGTTGGAAATGGATCTTGAATTGGAAGCAAGAGAAGCAAAGACAAATAATTATTGACTATAGATTGATTTCTCAGTGCTCATTTTACTGCAGACTTTGGAAGTGCCCATTTAGTAAGAGAATCTCTATAATATATGTTATGTATGTATTAT